ACTTAATATTATTTTCAGCTGCATTCGTTTCCCTGAAAATAACATGGATTCATTTTTCTCCATGGCTGGAAAAGTTTCTTTGTGCATATATACCACACTCTAACTACCCATTGCTTTGTCACTAGATGCCTAGGCTGGCTCTATATTTTAGCTCTTGTGAATAGCGTTGCAATGACCCCTGTGTTAAGTATCTTTGTGATATGTTGACTTGGGTAAATACGTCACAGTGGGGCAGCTGGATCCTGTGGCAGATCGATCTCCTCCTTGTTTGCAAATCTCCACTCTGATTTCCATAATGGCTGGGCTAGTTTGTGTTCTCACCAGCCATGTATACAGCTCCCTGGGCATCAAAGCACATTTAAATATCATGCCAACATAAGGAGCTGCTGTGCTAGCCACAGGAAACCTCTCTTCTACATGTAAAGACTCAAGGTAAGAAGGGAGTGTCTGTGCAGTTCTGAAGAGACTTTGGGGTTCGAGGGTACGCTAAAGCAGACCGGACTCACAATGGACAAAGAGTTGGGGGCAGTGGCAAAGAGGGAAATCTAGTGGCTGCCACCACAGCGTCCCCACCATTGTTCACGGCTCCTAGGACACCATCCGGACCTCATAAATGAAAGTGTCCATTGGGAAGTGGAAAACACATACACACACATGCCCCCTTCCACACACAAAAGCACGTTTGTGTCAGGGAGCCTCAGAGGCTGACACACACTGAGGACCCGCCTCTCCCTCCCCGTCCAGAAAAGCAGCTTTTCTGGTGTTCCACAAAGGAGAGAGGCTGTGGCAGAGAAGAGAACAAGCCTTCTCCAAAACTGCTGACTTGATTCATCCCCAAACTGACACAATGTGGAGAGGAAAACTTCAGGAAACGGGTAGATTATGTCCAAGAAAAGATTTCCTGCAAGCAGTTAACAGGAAGCTAACATGAAAAGCAGTACTAAAAATACACAGGCGACTGGAAACCAGCAGCAAGGGCCTGACATTTCAAGAAGCGGCTCAGGAAGTCACCAGGCTTCCCTGCACTCTCCTCTCAAGAGGTCAACTTAACATGGCTTACTCACCTAGAAGAAGCTGACTGGGGGCCCCCGAGTGTGGTTTAAACTTCACCTGAGGCTTTATCAACCCTTGAAGTGTTTTAGGCTACTTATGGGAGTCATTACAGCCCAGAGAGAAGATTAAGAGTCTCAGTTCTCACACACATACTTCAACTCACATGAAAAGAGGCATGAGCCAGCAGAGCAGTGCCCGGGCCACCTGAATGTGAACTCTGAACCAGTGAGCCTCACCTCTGAAGCAGCTAAGACTTCAGTCAACGGAAAATGGGCATAGAAGGGACAGTGAAAGGCAGAATATCTATCTGCACTCAGAGATCTGTGTACAGGGAAACTAAACTGTGACATCAGTAGGCCAAAGAGGAGCTCTTAGAAGTGGTTATTTGTAAATTTTGAGAAAGAACCTTTGTGTGGATGATCAGGGGCAGATGCTTGACAGAGGACAAATTTAAAGACAGAGCTGGTTTTCAGAGCTCTTCCCTCTTCTTATACCTACAAAGTCCAAAATTTTTGCTAAGTGTTTACTGAACTCCAATATCTGTAATTTCTCTACAACACTGAACACAATTTAAAAAGGAAACAGAAGGGGGGCAATGCTGGACTTCATTTCAGAGTTGGCTAGGAACTGTGGAGTGCTCAGCTGTCCTCAGCACCCACCTACCGGCTCACCCAGGCGAAAGGCACAATTCCTGACCTTGTATTTGCAGTTTGTACAGCTGGAAGTTCTGGTTCCCAGGCACGAAGGGAAAGTTTACTGCTAACTATCCTGCAATCACACAGATACATTATGGCAAGTCCTTCTTCCAAGATTAAAATGAATAATTTGAGAGCGAAGATCTTTCGGGGGTATATTTTTTTATGCCTGAATAGGAGCCAGATGTGAAGGGTACTGGCAAACAAAATGTAGGTGGTCCCGTGTGATAGAGTCTAGCTAGGACACAAAGCTTTCACAGTGGGTGATCTCTCTCTTGCTGAACACTTTGTTGCTCTTTGCTCACTTCTTGGCAGCGTCTGAAGCATCTGAGCGCTCCTTCTTCCCTAAAGGCTTCTTCCGAATCCCTTTAATGGTGGGGTATTACAATTTTCTGCTTCTCTGTGGTCAGTCTTCACATGGACCTTTTAACATCTACAACCCCTGAGATTTCACCCTCCCGTCTTACTCCCCACACTCTGGGTGGTTTAGAGTGTGCCCTCCTGGTACTTAAATTCCATGCTGCACTTTAGAACCTGGTGGGCAAGCATGAGTCAAGCTAATATCCTCGCCTTAATTTGTCAGAGCGGAAGGTTGATTCACTGGTACCCAAAGCCCTGAAAAATCGCTTTTCGATATAAATAATAGAATTTTGTATTTTGTCTATGAATATTAGGGTTTCTATTGCTGTGATAAAAACCCATGACCAAAATAACTTGGGGGGGGGAGGTTTATTTCAGCGTATAGCTTCTCCATCCATAGAAGTCAAGGCAGGAACTCAAGGCAGGAGCCTGGAGGCAGGAACTGATACAGTGGCCATGGAGGAGTGCTACTTACTGTCTTGATCACCTTGGCTTGCTCAGGACCACCAACCCAAGGAGAGCACTGCCCACAGTGAGCAGGGTCCTTCCACAGCAATTATCAATCAAGAAGATGAACCACAGATCAATTTGGTGGGGATGTTTTCTCAGTTGAGGTTCTCTCTCCCAAAATGACTGATTTGGGCCCAGCTGACATAAAACTAGTCAGCACAAAGTCTATGTGTTACTTATTTTAAATCTTGGAAATATGAATACCACAATTGGCATTTCATTTGATAAATTTAAATAGCAAATATCAAACAGTGAAAAATCAATAAGAATAAAAAGTATGAGAAAATTAAGTGGCCGAATGTTTAATGGCAATCTTAGTGTACAAACAAACAGATAATAAAAGCCAAATTAACTGGATTAATGATGAGACTGATACATATTGAAACATAATAGCAACTATTTCCTATTTTTATTACTTATTTATTCACAGGGTTTGTTTGTTTGTTTGTTTATTACAGGGATTCTCTGTGTAGTCCTGGTTGCTCTGGAACTATGTAGACTAGGCTGGCCTCAAACTCAGAGATCTCCCTGCTTCTGCTTTCTGAGTTACGGGGTTAAAGGTGTGTACCACCATGCCTGGCTTCTTCTGTTTTTAAAAACTCGAGGTCATAGAAGAAAGAGGAAAAATCACGGGATTCAACTGTTCAGAAATACGGTTATGATTTCTGATATCTCTACTTCATGGTGGAATTTGGATGACTAGACTTAGGAAGGAACAGGGCGGAGAAAATCTGGGCTGGTTCCACTAGTTTCTTTTACGAAATGACTATTCTAAACATTCACCTAATGCTTCTGGGTTCCAAGATCCCGAACACAGTCTATTCTCACCATCTGGTCTGGTCTCAGGGAAGGACTATATAAACATTTATAACTCAGTGTAGATCCAGTCAATGGGTTTAATGCCCTCCCCCAATATGAGCTGACATTTGATTCTCCAGAAAGAACCAGAACAGGCAGAGTCTGCAGACGGCACAGAGACACTACTTTGTATGGGGTTTTCTGCAGCAGGCTCAGAGTTGGCAGTGAAGTCAGTCAGTAAGATCTAGTTCAGAAGCCCTGAAATACAATAAAAACGGGGAATACAATTCATCTTCTCCCTTAAGGTGTCAATGCAGAAGTTGGAAAAAGAATGGCAGCCATGAGCAGAAGAAATTCCTCACTGATAACAGAAACATCATTTCAGTTACACCCCACCTTTACTCTAGGCATCATTCCAGCTAAGAGTAAGAAGCAGAAATATGTCAAATGTCGTAGGGAATTCCTACATTCTCTAAGCTACGGGTCCTACAGTCAAGGTTCTTCAAACCTACCCAAGAAGACATGTGCCTTTTAAAAATAGAAACCAGGAAATAAACAGTGTATGTCAGGAGTTCAGTTGAATGAGCAATTGCTGTGGTTCTGGGTGGTCTAAGAAAGCTGTGTAAGCAACGGACCTGGGACCAGGCCAGTCAACACGAAGGCTTTGCTATTCTTCGTGGGCGACCTTTCTTCTTTAGAGCCATCATCAAGGAACTGTTAAGCATACGATAACAACTATAACTACCAACAAACTACTTGCATGGGTAAATAAAAATACTTCATGAAGCACAAGATGTTAAATATGGTATCACTTCAATTTTCTAGAGAGCACAATGGGGGGGGGGCCTTTCTCCCGTACCATCATGAAAGAAAGCATCTAACATCAACTGGGCGTTGACGCTGAGTCTGAGCTGTTGGCTGGATAACATATCACCATACAACCCTCTTCTACTTTGCTTTCATCTTAGGGTCTAGAGAGGCAGAATATTTACTTTCCCGTTCTCTCTGTTAACACGTCACTGTCCTGGCTAGTAAGTTACTAGCACAAATCTCCTAGGGGAAATGTTCGAATTTCTTTGTACCATGAGGCTGAAAACTAGTACACTGGATGGGAGGACGGATTAGGTATCCTTGATTAAAGCTTGTACACCTAAGACAGCAACTGCTTGTTACAGAATTTCTATCTGAAAAGAACGAGCCATTTGTTGAAACCACTGCCAGTCAGCCTCTCTGTTCCATAAACTGAAGATATTCTTGAAATAAATGCTTATCATGTGTTTATTCGGGGTTTATAAAGTAAGGAGGAGGCAGAAACAGATCTCAAGCCCATGGCTGACAGATCCAAAGCCCCGACTTAACTGCTGCATTAACAAGTAGTTACTGTGTGCACTGACTACCAAGGCTGCCTCTTGCTGGCCAGGCTAGGAGTGCCTTGACTAGGCAGACTAGCCATCTGACGACATTTGCATCATCCTAGGTACATTATAATAGCACCATCAACAACAGCACTGAATCTAGTTTCACTGGGGCAAAGGAACTCAACTTATTATTTATAGTCATCTCCTGATTCTTTCCTTGATTTGATGACCTTCTTTTCAACGCAGTTTTCTCCACATTTGAATTTTCAATATTTGTCGACAGGACGTTTTCCTTTTTTGTACCAATTTGGAGATTAACGGCTGTCACACACGAGACCAAGTCCTGCTCTTATTGTCTATTAAGTAGACAAGAGCCAGGTCGAAAGACTAAGCATCTGATAACACACTGACAGACAAACAGCGGACTATTTCTAGATGGTCACTTATGCTTACGACAGAGCAAAATGGAAGGCTGTTTGGAACTATTTCACAGCGGAAACTAAGCTGATCTGATTGTGGCAGGGACCAGCTGGTGGCAGTTGTGGGGTTGCTCAGGGCTCACTCTCCAGGGAAATGTGTTCTTCTGTGATCACGACCGGCCATTATATAGGAGGCTCAGTAGGGCTGCCTCTGGCTGTCATGGGAAACTTGGCATGGATTCTTTATGTGGACCCCTAAGAGCAGACAGCCCTTACACGATGCTGATAGGTCATCTCCCTCAGTCAATTAGCTAATTGCCTGAAATCACCCCTCATAGATCAAGAAAAACTGCCTTCTAAATGAACTCGGTTTGTACCCTTTTGACAACCTTATTCAGCCCTGAAGCCCCTGCGGCGGCACAAAATTCTGCCAAAGTGCATCACCGGTTACAGTGAACAAATCCCTCTGACTTTACAGTGCACTTTTTAAAAAGGAGGATTTTTTTTTTAATGTAGCTTCCTGGATACACCAGGTGTGAATGGTAAATAAAAGAGCAAGCGGTTCCGCTGCCCGTCTTTGGCCACTCCCTTCGAAGCAAGCTGAGGTCATTCCCGCTGCTTTCTCTTTCGCTGAACAAACTGGGTCTTGCTGGAAACACCTTTAGCACGACAGTCCCATCTAATCCAACACAGAGCTGATCCTAATAACTCAGGCTGCCTAGGAGATGGGGGGGTAGCCCCCCCCCCGTGTAAGCAGTGAGCACCCCATTTCTGTAGCTAATATTGAAAACTGGAGACAGCCATTGTGTCTGGCCTGCTGAGGTGCACCGAGTGACCTTGCACTGGGTGACCAAGAGCACCTTCCTGATACCGTTGCCCTCTGCCTCCTGCTAGCCTTTACTTTCTTGCTTCCCTTCCAACTTAGAACCCTTTCTTTAAAGGTCTCACGTCCCACGAAAAATGCACATGTGGAGGGAATACTGTATCTTACACATCTGGAAACACTGGAAGTGCTTTATCGAGGGGTGACGTAATCGCTAAATAAAGGTCAGATAGGATTTTAATAAGCAGACACTGAGGAAAGACTGCACGAGAGTCTCCAGGAAGGGGAAAAGGGTACTCGTCACGTGACAGACACCACTCTAAGTGCGCCTGTGTAAATCCACACCTACTCCTTACCATCAGTGACTCTGGAAAAGACAAGCGTTGTGAGTATTTTCTCAAGGCCTTTAACGGGTGTAAAACATTTACCCCAGTTCACAGAATAAAGGAGAGGGGAAGCTAGGCTTTCGGTTCAAGTCTGAATTCAAATTCTCCCTCTTCCTGTTGTGCTGGTGAGCGCGAGCGTGGAAGCAGGGAAGGACAAAGCTGACTGTGGGTGGGAATGTATGTGGTACGCTTTCAGGATCTGTTCTGTGGAGTTAGCATTTAAAGAAAGCTCCGTGAGACAGATCTCAACGGTGACACGAGATATAACCAGCAAAGCTGGTGTTGTGTTTGCCCACGTGAATCAAAACTGGAATAAAGTTATACTAAGGAAGCAAGCATCAGGGGCAGGGTGGTGGTGGCACATGCCTTTAATCCCAGCCCTTGGGAGGCAGAGGCAGGTGGATCTCTGTGAGTTCCAGGCCAGCCTGGTCTACAGAGTGAGTTCCAGGACACGCTCCACAGAGAAACCCTCCCTCTCCAAAAGTAACCATTATCAATCAGTCCTGGAGCTAATGATCCCAGGTGAGGACTATTCCAGTTGTTTCTTTTATCACATCTACTTGAAGGCATAAATAGTAGAGTCTCCACACTTAGACCCCAGTGTATCCATGTCCCACCCTTATTCCAGGGGACGACCTGAATGCTTCTTGCCTTACCTACATGTAAGGCTATGCTGATTCTTCAATTGAATCACATGGTCATTCTCCATTTACCAACTCTAGCCCCTTTCTTCCCTTTCTACAGTTGCTCAGTTCAGACCCAGCACACAATGGTAAGAGTCTGCTGGAAGGAGGACACATGCCGGGCATCCGATAGGTATTTGTCACATAAAGAAACGGAGCGGATGCTGTGTCAGAAGTAGAGGAGAGGCAACGGTGCACGCAAGTAAAGATGAGAGATGCACATTGGAGCCTCCGGTATGCCCGAGGCCACCTTAGATACCACACGTGGAAACCTGACTTCATTTTCTAGGCAACGAGAAAGACAGTTTCTGGATGCTGGGTACTGAGTAAGGAAAGGTGAGAGTTTAAGGGGTTTCCAAAAAGCAAAAATGCAGGAGAGACGGAAAACAGAATCCTCGGATTTCTCCCACCGAACACTTCGGCTCTGTCTGACGACACCAAAGGTCTTTCTCGTCTTTTTCTTTCATCTGCGCTTAGGGCTACTCTACCCTCTATGGATCGTCTAGCTTCAAGCACTGCTCGACATTGCTGGTTCAAGTTGTCGTCTGGCTGGAGCAGCACAATGTCAGAGAGCCCCAGACCCCTAAAGTGGCTTAGAAAACACTTCCTTCACCATTTCCACTCCCAGCCTTGGCGAAGGGAGAAAAGGGTCAGGTGTTCTTGCTCCTGAAGAATTTCTCTGACAAATTCCGGCTAGACCAAAAACTAAGGAAAGGATTTCTTCCCGCCTTCTCTAGTGATGTTCTTAAAAACAGAGATTAACTGCCCTCATCTGGCACATCCAAATAACTCTACTCAGGGAAGCTAATTACAAGTTTCCTGGTCTTTGTTGATTGCTCTAGGGAATGCTCTCAGGTGACGTGCCCTGACCGTCTTGGAGGTTGACACCATCTTGGGGGACACTTAGGCTCATCCTCACGCCTCCAGGCAACTCCCCAGCTGTGTGAAAATGATGCTCATCTTCAAGTCCTGCCTTAAATGATGCCTCAGCTGAGGCACTGCCGTTGATTTAGTAAGTAGGATGCAAGCCTCCCCTCAGCGAATCTTTCCAATACTGTGCTTATGTCTCTTAGCACAGATCATAAAAGAATGGTAGGATGGCTTCTCATCTCCTATTCTATTCCATTCAGAAACAAAATCATCTTGAGGCCAGGGTTTCTGTCATTGGATATTTCCCATCGTTTTTAAAGTAGCCCACCTAGTCTGTTCAATTAGAGGGTCTCAAGCCGTCACTGATACGAACTATTGACCATGACGCCTTGGTCAAGTTCTTCGGGGCATCATCATCCTAATCTTAAAAACAAGAAAATGAAAGTTCAGCCCTGCCCAGTGATTCAGAAAAGAGGTTCTGCTTTCCAAACAGAAGTTGATTAATGGTGTCCACTAATGGGTTCGGGTGTGAAGCGTGGACTCCTTGGGTTACTGTCCCTATCTCTTATTGAGTCTCTGGGGCAAGGAGTATAGAGGAGCAGCCTGTCAATATTCATATCGAGAGCCGTGAGGAAATAGGGTTGGTTAGTTCTTGTCGGCCAATCCTCAGAAATCACATCACGGTGAGAACCAGCTCCTCAGAGTTGTTCTCTGGTCTGTGCACACTCAGCACACACACACAAATGAAATTTAAAGAGAAGTCAATACGACTTAATAAATCTATTTCTAGAAATATATTTTATTGTCTGTTTATGATTCTAAGTCTTCTAAACACATGATGTATTTTATACTTACAGCACACATCAGTTCAGATGAACCAGATTCAAGTACTCAGGCGTTACACATGGCTAGAGACAACAACACTGGACGGGGAAGAACCACACAATAAGGAAAGCATGACTGGAAGAGGACCAGAGAAGAAGGTGATTCCTAGAAAGAACTGGTCTCCTCATTTTACTTCTTGGAGTCCAGATACTCTGTACACTGTTATGGAAGGGGCCAAATTTCAGGTATAAATATAAGTCCGCATAAGACAAACCTAACTAATGGTTCGATGATACTCACCTTACCTAAGAGCCTTGGTGACAAGATGAAAGTCTCACTGCAGCCAGTAAATTACCCCAAAATTTATAATAAGTATTTCTACGTTTATAACGTTAAGAGAAATTAACTGAACCCAACAGTGAAGATATTAGGAAAGCTTCTGCCAGGGTGAAGCATGGTGAAACAGTTTGTTTACCGAGCATCACCCAGGCATTTGGCACTGTGCCAGGCATTTAAATCTAGCAAAATTGATAAAGTAGTACTATGACGTCAGTATAGATGGAGAAATAGGCTCAGGAGGCTTAAGGACCCTTAAAACTTCACCAAGATGGAAATGGCAGATTTTGATTTGGTGATGGGCCTGGAGTTAGAACAGATCTCTTCGAAGACAGTAATAATATTTCCTCCACTGCTTAGAGCCTCCTCACCCCCCCTCCTCCCCAGCCTAGGACAGGAAGGAAGGCCATCTCTAGATAGGAGTGGGCTATCCCCTCATGTATGGGGTTTCTGTTGTCTTTTTCAAAGGGGTCTTGAAGAGTTGTAAGTGGGGTACACCTCTGCCTTGTGGACAAAGGAGAATTCTCTTCCTTGGCTCTAGCATCTGCTGGTATTTTGCTAATTCTTAGCTTCTCCAAGATTCCCCACCCACTGATTTCCCAGAGTCAAAAGCCAAAATATCTTGGCTGAAAGGGTGATGGATCACAGATGACAGAGGCTCAAGAAAAAAGTCTGTAATGTGTTTCTCTTTTAAAGGCCAAAACCCATCACACACTTCTCATTCTTATTCTCTTTGCGTTCCGTCTTGAGAAACATTCTCTTGTCTGTGTTTTCATTCATCACGGTGGGAAAAGGCAAACAGGCCATGCTGAAAGCTTCAACAAATTTGCTGTCTTCCGATTTTGGACCAGCTGGCGTCCATCTCCACTGAAACAAGGCCAAGTATCAAGGAGAATACGGATGGAGCTGCTGACAGCGTACCCCCAAAGGAGTCCTCAGGGGAAGGGGCTCTAAGGGAGACACCAACACTGGAGACCAGAACAGCAATGGAGCTCTGGGGTTTCCTTTCCTCTTGCCCATGACTCCTTTAACCTCACAGCGCATGCATACTGGTTTTCAGAGAAACCTGCTTTTCAGCTTTTTATAAAAGGCCTCCATTTCCAACCAAATATAACTTCCCCAGGTCTTCACGTTCTCAAGTCCTTCCTGTACGAAAGCTGCCCTGCAGCCTGTTTCTTCCTCAGCAGCCAAGCTTCGCTTTCCCAATTCTGTATTATAAAAATAGCCAGCTTTGCACTGTCTCGTTATAAATTATAATACCAAATAAAAAAATCGAAGTATGTGCAAGCATCCTCTGAATTCTGTCTTCATCTGAGTGTTATTGAGAGGCAGGGATAAAGCCCATTAAAAGCAAATTGTGGTATTTTGGGTGGGTCCTCATTTTGGGTATTTCCATTCCCGATTTAGCCTGAGCTACGATCTTACTAAAGTTCCTTAGCTCCCCTTTCTCATGCACAAAGAACTCACCATAGGGTTATCGGCTTTTGTGCTCACCTGACTAAAGCCTCCTCCCCAGAGCGTACTCAGCCAAACTGTTTCTGGTAAGTGACTTTGGAGAATAAAAATTCATCTGACAGTTTCAAGGAGGATGTGAGAGGCAGACACACGGGGGCGGGGGGAGCACTGAAGCACACCCCTCAAGTCATCTCTGCCCTGCGAGGATGGGAGGAGGGCTGCAGAAGAAAGGAGGCCGCGGGGTTTGGGCAGCAAACAGCTGGGTGCTGTATCCAGCTGCTGGCTAGACAACTGTCAGCTCAAGAACAGGAAGTCAGGATTCCGTCTAAAGAAGGAGAGCATTAAACTCTGTCTCACTTGTTACAGTTTCTTCACGGTCCCTTTGAGCTCAAGGCCAGCATTGGAAAGGTTCTTGGAGATCATTTGCCGGGTTATGTCTTTCTCTGTCTCCCTTTGTTCCCTTCTTTCTGACCCTCACTCGAAGCCCTCTCCCCCTTTCTGTGTCCTATGTTTTGCCTAGAACTATGAGCTGTAAGTCCAAGCTGTCTGGCCAGAAGGGGGCACAGGCCTTGCTGCCTCCCCCCTTCCAGTGTGCACCATTAATCCCAGCACTTGGGAGGCAGAGGCAGGTGAATCTCTGTGAGTTTGAGGCCAGCCTAGGCTACAGAACAAGCTGTAGGCCAGCCAGAGCTCCACATTAAGACCATATCTCAAAACAAAACAATAAAGTCTGTGTTTTGGTCTTGATTCTGCTAATTCTTAGTCTTAGGCTTACAGTACCATAGAGTCTCTGGATAGAACCTAGATGGCTGTGTCTTTACGTGTGATTCCACAGACTCAAGCAGATGTGACTAACTTCCTTATATATTCTCTTCTGAGGATATCAACAACTTCCAACATTTCATTTGCCATTTCTCTATGGAAGATCCTCACGTTAGACCTTTTCTTAGCAGAGTGATCTAAAGTACACTGAGAAGGAACGGGGATGCTGACAAGCAGATAGGGGTCTGGAAGTCTAGGACCAGAATCCAGCTGCTTGGTCTGAAAATTCGGGACCAGGTTTCCAGCTCCCCGAGCACCGGCAAGAGAAAAGAATAACAGACCAAAAGAGAAAATGATCATGGAATCAATATATGAGCAGTTGCACCTTGTCAGGGACTTGGCTAAAAGGAAGCAAATAAGAAAGCTCTTTAGAAATTGGGGGCTCCAACAGAAAGTGGTCAGCCTTAAGACTTATTGATTCCCCGAGGCCTAGACCAGGTTCTTAAATCCCACACTCTCTCGCCCTATCGGAACTGCTTTAGAGAATTCTCTGTAAGGTAGAAAGGCAGAGCCCTGCAGGGGTCAGGGCACACTGTATCTAGGCTCCGACTTGCACAATGAAGCAAGTCAGTTGCCGAATGACAACCCAGGCAGATGCCCCTGTGTTTGGATCACTCACTGAGAGACCCGAAGCCATTTTCCTTCCAGCAATAGAATGCAGGTATAAAGCCAGGCATGGTGGTATGCTTCTACGAATGCACCCTTGGGAAGTAGCAGGAAGATCAGGAGATCAAGGGGCGCCTCAGCTATATAGTGAGCTAGAGGCTAGCCTGAGCCATGTGAGACCCTGCCTCAAAAAAAAAAAAAATGTTACAGATTTGTTCTTTTCTTCTAAGGGAAAGTAGACCCTTCTTGTTACAGGAGTTGAAACCCAACTGGTCTAAAGCAATTGTGCATGTCCTTTTCCCTCAGCTGGGGCTGATCTAGAGAGGGACATGTTACCTAGTGATAGCCAATAACATTAAATAAAAATAAAAAAGAGAAGGAAAAGAGTCTCAAAACTAAACATAAGGGATTTTCTGGAGGACAGAAAGTATCTAATTTTCCTAGCAACAACGCTTGAGCCACAAAATAACCATAAACAAAACCCCGAAACTTGTTACCTTTAGTCTATGAAACGTGTCAACGCCCTTAGGATTTAAATCACTACTGATCAGATTTTGTTAACCACATCAGAGTTTTCCCGACTTGCTGAATTGCTTACTAATTTGTAAAACCATGGGCCTTATATCCTGTATATAATCCGTATATCCATGCATTATTTGGTCTTTAAGTTTTGAGAGGCCCACAGATTCAGATCAAGAGTCTTCAAGCTGGGCATGTTGGTGCATGTCTTCAATCCTGGTAATTGGGAGGCAGAGGCAGGCAGATCTCTGAGTTTGAGGCTAGCCTGGTCTACTTAGTGAGTTCCAGGATAGCCAGAGCTACACAGTGAGAGCTATATAGTTGCAGAAACAACAACAAAAGAGTCTTTACTTAATACCAGTGGCTCTCAGTGCGTGGTACCCGGACTATCAGCGTGAATATCACTCGAAGTCTAGGTCACCAGCCAGATATCGCACCAAATGAATTAGAAACAGCAGGAATGGGGCACAGACAGCAATCGGTATTTTATCAAGTCCTCCGGCTGAATTGATTCACGCTAAAGTTTAGAGAATATTGCTCTGAACTCAGGTTTATTCACCTGAACGTTTTATAGTGGTGACATGTCTTTATTTGAGACATCTAATAAAGTTATAGGTGAACACAAATGTCCCCACTGCTCTTGGAGAGCAGCTAAGTGCAACTGAGAAAGGGGATTTTTAATAAGTGTTCATGGCCAGTGGCCTATGTATTAGAGAGCCCCGGTCTGAGCTAAATAAGGAATCTTACATAATCAAACAGCTCTTGAAAGAGAACTAGAAAAACATTGGTGTGCAACTAAGTCTCTACAGCAAGTGGTAAAACATACAGGAAAGTCTCCCATTCCTGGAATTTACGACCCAGCAGGCCAGGCTTACCCCGAGACCCTGCATTTCTGATACGTTCCTCTGACCTGGGTGTTTCTCATCTCAGGCTTACACTTTGAGAAGCACTGGAATAAGTAAAAATTGTTCACATTCTTCTATAGACTGTGCCTCGGACCCAGCAGGTGCCTGATATTACCAAAGGGACATGGCTGCTCTCTAACAAGAGAAACAGCTCAGAAGGCCGGCTGTGTTCCAGAGACCATTAATCATGATCGCCAGGTAGCAGGAGCCATGCTTCTGAAGAAGTTTACAGGAGTGATTTGCACAAGGTACCCCCGCGTATTCCTTTTATTTCCTGATTCTAATCATGCCAGTGGAGGTAGGTGTGTGGTTTTGCTGAAAACCAAAATATCCCAGCGTGTGAAGATTTGACACATTCTAGAATAAAGTCAGGAAAGACAGCTGGACTGGTGATCAGGCTGGGGGCTACGCCTTCTTGAATAACACCACAGAGGAAACCATCTTTGCCAGAGGCTGGGTCTGGCCAGCAACACAGCTTTCAAGTATTAATGAGAAAGGCAAAAATCAAGGACAAACACACAAGGGACTTTTCTGAAGGTCAAAAAGGCAATAATAAATGCCAAGCCCAGAAAAGCTTTTAAATCTGACCTTTTCCTCTGCTGCGGCCATTGCCTTCCAGTGTCTTCAATCTAATAGACTGCAGAGGGCTCTTAGCAGAGGACCGGGCTAGCCTCTCCCTTAATGCTGCCTCTCCAGCACTGCTCAAGCAGGAGCGCTATTACTGGTAATTACATCATTAGACCGTAATGGACCACATGGGCTGCGAGGGAACGAGCCCAGCAGCTCTTCAGTTGAGGAGAGGCGAAAAGGACTCCCCGTCCACGCTTCCATTTTTATTAACCCTCCCAGTTCCGGTTTGTTTTTAAAGATAAAATGTCCTTAGGCGATTTCACAATCACAGAACAGAGAGCACAGAAGCGGAGCTGTTGAAAATCAGGAGTGAACTTAATACTTCGGTGTTAAGGGCGGTTCCCCCTGGAACAGGAGCAGGATGTCTGTGTCTAGCTCACCTTTGTGGCGGTGATCATGTAACAGTACGGACATAGTTTCTTCATCTACGAGGAGCAGAAGCCACGCAGTACACAGACCCTAGAACATCACGGGGAGCTGCTGAGCCTGGACCCAGAGAACTCAGGAGCTTGCCCCGCCCACTCTCAGCCCTGCCATTCTATTAAGTAAAAAGACTCCAACAGGAGAGACAAGGGAAGGGAAACAGGAAGACTGACTCTGTATGGATTCTTGCCTCTGCTCCACCCATACATTAACATCAGATCGTCGTCAGCAGCATCCTCAACATTTTCAAAAGCCCAAGCCGGGGACATGCAGAGCACCCACAGAAGTCTCCTCCAATAGACAGAGTCACAGGGAGGCTAGCGTCAAACGCTTCTGTAGGGCACTCGAAGGTAGGTGGGGAATCAGCACAAACGGCACGCGAACAACAGCGAACACAAAACAGAGTTGTTTTTCCTATCGTTCTAAAAAGGTTTTCTTACATGGAAGGGGCAATTCCCTAACAGGGCTCAAAGAAAGAATCAAAACATACAAAGCTACACACCAACTGTCCCATATCTCAGAACCTGAGATAGATCTTAGAATCTTCCTTTTCTAGTGCAAAGAAAACCAATTTAACAAACCAAGTGAAACAGTCCCCAGA